AAGTGATATTGCTAGATCAAAGGGCATTTTGCTTTTCTTTGTATCCTCTGTTTTTAGCACAATGCCTGGCACATAAAAGGTGTTTAATAAATGCTATGTGACTGACTGCCATAGACTGAATGCCCAACTTTGGTCAGTCAGCCTATAAATAGTCCCCAAGAGAGACTAGGCAAGAATCAGTACAAATTACCCCCTACTGTGAGGACTATAACTCAGAAGTCTGTGCCTGTCTGGTGGTGGATCAGTTTCATTATCTCCATATACAACAGATAGTATTCGTTAGTCTGTGTTGATGTGCAGTTAAGGTGATGGTGATGAGTGTGTGGGGACATTAGAAAATAACAGAAGGAGAATGCCAGTACTCTCGGCGTGCCTCTTCAGGTGCCTAGGAGAGTGCTAGCATGCAACTAAACTTGAATATACACAGACCTCCCCAAGCAACTGCGCTTTCATTCATACTTACCCCTATGTGGAGAAAGTGGTACAGTGGATAGAGTGGTAGTCTTGGAATCAGAAAGACCTGGGTTCAGATCTTCCCTCTGGCCCTGGAGACTGTGACATCACTTCTCTTTTCTAAACATCTGCTTTCTCATCTTTAAAGCAAATATGACAAGCCCTCATGGGGTTATAGCGGCTCCAATGAACTCAAGCATGTAGAGAACTTTGCAAAGTTTAAGGCTCTCTGGAGATGTTATTACGAGCTTTCAGAACTAGGGTGAGAAGAGGACAGGAATGACAACAGGCATTTATACGTCACAGTGGATTGGTTTTAGGAAGGTTATCTTTTCACTTCTTAAGCATCAGGTCCATACCAGTACTGTGGCATCGATGCAACGCCTTCAATAGTTTCCTAATGATCTCAGGAACAAAAATACAGCATGCCACTTGTTCCCACATGACGACTTTTGAATGAGCAGAATCTCAGAACTAGGAGAGCCATCTGGTCTAATTGAGTTACAAATAAGAATCCCTTAAAACAAACCTGATACTCGGTCGTCCAGCATTTGCTTTAACCCTCCAGTGAAGAGGCACCCATTATGTCCTGACCCAGGCCATTCCACCTTGGAACAGCAATGTGGATTTGAAAGTTTATCCTTACATTTCCTTAATCCAAGTCTAAATCTGCCTTTCTATAGCTTCTACTCATTGGGTCTGGGTTCTGCCCTCTGAGGTCAGGTAGAACAATTCTCTACATTCTTCCACATAACTCCTCTTTGTATCCCATCACGTCTTAAGTCTTCTCTTCTCCATGCTAAGTAGCCTTAATGCCTTCAATTTATCCTCATATCAAATGAGTTTGATGCCCGTTATCTTACCTGCCCTCCTCTGGAGGCTCTGTTGTGTTGTTCAGTCATTTTTAGTAATGTCTGATTCTTTGTGACCCAATTTGGGGATTTCTTGGCCAAGACCCTGGAATGGTTTGCCATTTCCTTCTCCAGCTCATTTTACAGATGAGGAAACTGAGGGAAACAGGGTTAAGTGACTTATTCAGGGTCACACAGCTAGTAAGTCTCTGAGGTCAGATTGGAACTCAGAAAGATGAGTCTTCTTGACTCCAGGCCTGCTGCTCTATGCACTATGGCGCCACCTAGCAGCCCCACATTACCATTACATGTATGAAAAGTCCCAGCTTTTTTTTTTTTTTTCTAACTGAAGTATCTAGGCATTGCTCTCTCTATCATGTGCTTATGAAGTTGCTATTCTGAACCTAAGTAAAAGAATTTAACGGCAGGACCTAGAGTTTGAATCATGACTTTGTGATATACTATTACATTTCATCTTACTCAGTTTGGTCCAATGTCCTAGCTAGCCCATGGAAATCTTTCTAGGTCCTGACTTTGTCATGCAATGTTATCTAGCTTTCTAAGCTTTGAGCCATCTTCATATCTGCCAACTGTGCCATTCATGCCTTTATCCAAGTCACTGATAACAATGTTCAAGAGAACACCGCAGAGCAGGAACCCTTTTCCAAACTGATATCCAGCCACTGACAATTCCTGAACCCATCTCACTGTCCTGTTCTCCAGCCCAGCCCTCTCAGTCTTGTCCATGAGAATAGTGCACAAGACTTTTGTCAAATGCTTTATTAAAATCTAGGCAAACACCATGTTCGGCATTCTCTAGTTCTACCAGTCTACTCACCCCATTAGAAAAAAGGAAATGGGGTTAATGTGGCATAGTTTGTTGTCAATGGAACCAGTTGGCCTTTGTGATAATGAGTTCACTTATCATCCCTGTAATGACATATTCTAGAACAGGGGTGGGAACATGTGGCCTCAAGGCCACATATGGCCCTCTAGTTCCTCAAGTGTGGCCCTTTCACTGAATCCAAACTTCACAGAACAAATCCCCTTAATAAAAGGATTTGTTCTGTAAAACAAAAAGGCTGCACTCAAGGACCTAGAAGGACATACGTGACCTTGAGGCTGCATGTTCTCCACTGCCATTCCAGAATATTTAAGAGATCAAAGTCAACTTCACAAGCCTATCCTTTGCAGAGTACAGGCCCTGTCTACTTTATTTCCATTTTTTTAAAAATCAGGGAAACATTTGTCTTTCTTTCTCCAGTTCTGTGGCATTTCTCCTGTTGGTTACAGTCACTCAGAGTTCTCACTGTTAGTGCTTCCCATCTCATCTGCCAAAGGCAGCTATGTGCTATCTTTATACTTCTCTTTTGTTTTAAATTAAGCCATTTCTGTTCTGTCATTCCCAGTTCAAAAGTTGTTGTGCTTGCCAAAGAAAACGGAACGAAAAAAAGAGTTGGGAAGCTCTACCTTCTCTCCATCATCCACTGTCATTGTCCCAGGTATCCCCATTTAGTTCTATATTCTCTCTCAATGTAGGAAGGAAAAAACATGTAAGAAATCAAAGGCAATGACGAGTCTTTAATATATGCCTGAGGTTATGAGCCCTATGCATCCTGCTCACTGCTGTTTTTGTGATTGTCCGCTGAGCCTTCTGAGGGTTTACTGGTGTGGTCTTCTCACAATAGCATGAGCCCAAAGTAAGAGGGATAATCATGATGAGTATGACCATAACACTCTTATACACCTGTTTCCTTGTAGCAAGTCTGTAAGATAGGTATTTGAAGTTTTAGTATTATAGCTATCTTTCAGATGAGGAAATAGAGGCTTACAATATTAAAGTAACTTGCCAAAAGTCAGGGGAACCACTAGTTAACTAGGGTTGGAGGAACAAGATAGCTGTCCTTTTCAATCAACCTGGGTCATGTGTATCAGGTGGGAGGCTTTAAGCAGGGTTAGAAACTCCGGGCCTGTGCCACCCCCTGCCCTGGGATCCCCAGTGAATGCCAAGGCTTTTGGATAGATATACTTTGTAAGAGGCATTTATGAGGTCAGATTGGTGGTGGAAAGAGTACTTACTGGTCTTGGAGTCAGGAAACCTGAGTTTTAGGATTGGCTCTACCACTGATCACCTGTATTACCTTGGGTAAGTCACTTCATTTCTTTGGGACTTAGTTTCCTTTTCCATTAAATGAAAAGGTTGGACTAGATGAACTCTCAGGTACATTTCAGCTCCAAATTTCTATGGTTTTGCCCTGTGTCTTGATATTTGCCTGCTTATTTACTTGGGGTCAGGTGAAGCTTTTATAGAGCGTAAAATTAGAAAAAGGATGGCACTACATGAGAGGGAGGGAACAAGGCTTGAATCAATCCATCAAGCATTTGTTATAAGTACCTATGATGTGCCAAACACCATCCTAGATACTGGAGTAACCAAAAAAAAAATGAAGCGATCTCTGCTCTCAAGGAACTTATATCCATCAGGATCTGGTTTTTTTGTTTGTTTGTTTGTTTGTTTGTTTTGTTTTTCAAATAGAACAGAACAAATAGTCATAATCTGAAGTAAGCTGGAGTGAGATATTGAAAGTCATGCAAGAGTATGGTGTGATAGTTGCTTGTGCTTATCAGCTCTGCTCACCTTGTTAGACCCTCTCTATGAAAATGAAACTCATCATTGTAGTCAACAGATGCCATTGAGCTGAGGTGCATTAAAACGCTTTGCAGAGATGGCTGCTCTAGGGCAGAATTTTACTATGTACCTCCTCCACTCAGACCCTGTCCCTATTAGAAACAGGCCCCCTTCCAGTATCTTCCTGCCTAAACCTGGAGTAAGACCCTGAATTTTGTTTTTCTTGTTCCTTCAGAAGGCAGTACTGCTCCTTGGAAAACCTTCCAATTAGTATCTGACAGTAAAACTGCATTAAAGCCCTGCCCTTGCCCACTCCCTTGCACTGACCCTCCAAGAGTTAACCATTAATGGCAGTTTCTCATAAAAAATTCATCCCAGCACTTGTGAATCTCCACCAGCCTCCAGCATGATGTCAGGTATGGAATTTGCCTATTATTACTGGTCATGAATGAAGCAGGCTAGCTACAAAGTGATTGGTATGGAAAAGGAAGGACTTCAAAGTCTTGCATTCTTTCTCAAAGGTTGCCTCTAGAAACAGCAGCTTCCTGTTAGGAAATAAAACACTGAGGGAGGCAGCTAGCCCTTCATCCTCTCCTTATCTGGTGGGGTAACAAACTGTAGAATGGTAGACTGTAGGGCCGTCAGTCCACCTCTAAGCTATTGTTTTAATTTAAGGAAAAGCCCCATCTTGGAGACATGATGGCACCTTTGCTTTTGAGGAAGCCCTGATATTTCATTATTGCTTTCCCTGAAGTTTGCCCTTTGCAAAATGGAAAGAAATAAAAGGGAGGGAGGCCAGTTTAAAAAAAAACAAACCAAAAACTAAAGGTTTCTGGTACCTGGAGAATACAATGTTCCTCTTTGGTTTCATGTATTATGTGGAAAGAAGGGTCTGTCAAACAAGAAATAATACCTAATGTTTACACTTTAATGGAACCCAGGGACCAATTAACAACAATGAGTGCCACCAGCTAGAGTATTTCTACTCATAACAAGCCAGAAATCTCATGTTATTGCTGCTTCTCACCCCCCCCCACCAAAATAAAAGACAGATGCTATGTCAACAATTTCTCTAGAGTTATTTTTTATTTTCCACAATTCCTAAAACTAACCTATTTATCAAAAGATAGCTGATGCCCCCAATTCATGGATGAGTGTCATCCTTTCTCTGTAGGTGAATCTGTGAGCAGGGAGAAGGCCTCCCACCTCAGCAAAGCAGGCATGTCAAAATCTGCCCTCCACACCTAGCAGCTGCACGGCCCCTTCTTGGACAGACTGATGGATGTGTGTTACCTCTTCTTGGGTGAGGGTTTTCTCCATGTGGCGATAAGTAATTCGATAGCAATGGCTGACTCTCTGTGTCCTGGAAAACAGAAGAGCAGAAAAGAATGGTGAGGAACTGAAAGCCCAGCTTCATCTCACAAAGCTCATGTTAACAATATGGAAGAATCACATATGCTTTGGCCACATCTCTCAACCCAAACAAAGGATTAAAGAAATCATCTTAAGTATCAGGTTAAAAAAAAAAGCTTAATCTAGAATTAACCATAATATACTTTGTGACCATAGAACACTAATTAATGTAAACTGACCCCCTATCACTTCCAGGATCAAATATATATGCTTCTGTTCGGCATTTAAAGCCTTTCACAATTCAGACTCTTGTTGTCTGTCCAGTCTACTTATACATACTTTATTCTTCTCCACATACTCCACTATCCAGAAGCACCTTCTTCTTGGTGTTCCTTGTACAACACTCCATCTGTCCCAATTTTGTGTCTTTTTGATGGCTGTCCCCCATTCTTGGAATACTCCACCCTATTCTTGCTTCTCAGGAAAGGAGATCTTTCCCAGTCCCTTCCCCCACCCTTACTGATCCCTTTCACCTGAAATAATCTTAGATGTACACAGTTATTTACATATCATCTCCCCCATTAAAAGGTGAGCTCCTTGAGTGCAGACAGTTTTTGCCTTTCTTTGTATCCCCAGCACTAAACCATGGTGCCAGGCACCCAGTAAGTACTTAATAAATCTTTGTTTACTGACTCAAATCCCATCTTTTTCAGGAGGTCTTTCCCATTTGCCCCAGCTTCTACTATCTAGGATTACCTACCTCTATTCTGTACAATATACAAGCCTGTAATCTCCCCAGTTAGAATCTAAGTGCCTTCAGGGCAGGGAACTCTGAAGTAGGCAATTAGTCAAGTCAGTAGCAAATATTTTCTAAATTCAACCATAGACTCTATATCAGTGAACTAGCAGACTCATAGGATTTGCAGGAAGGACAGCAACTCTTGTACCCTCAAGGAAGTTACAATCTAACGGGAACTAGAGAGAAGAAAAGATGTCAGTCAACATAAATGTACACAGGAATGGGGACAATGAGTTCAGGGAGTGGGCTGAAAAGGGATCATCTGGTTAGGCTGGAGAATGACAGTAGTTCAAAGCTTAGAAGGAGGTAAGCCTGCCGCCTGCCACCGCACTGTGGACCTGGAGATCTTTTCTCCATTGAAACGGCTCTCCAACCGAGAGAGTCGAAGGGTGTCCTTTTCAGAACTGTTCATTTTAGATGGAAGCCCCCAAAGTGAGGTCTTCAAGGCTGTGATCCTGCTGCCTGGCTTGGCTTCTGGACCTCGGGTCAGTATGGCTGCAGCTGCAGCTGGTTCTGGCTGCTACCACTGTTTCCCAGAGGAGATGGCTGTTCCTTGGAGTCAGGCACAAGAAATCAAACCAGATGGTTCCTCTGACAGTTACTGCCTTGGGAAAGACAACTCAAATCGAGTCCTCCAGTGAGGGAAAGCCAGAGCCAGTAGGGAACGAGGGAGGGAGGGAGGGAGTTGCCAGGGCCCAGCAAAGGCAAGCCTCTAGCCTTCAAACACATCTCTCTTCAGGTCCTCCCCATCTGCCTGTCTGTAATATAAGAGCTCCTTGGGGACTTGCATTTTGCAAGCGAGACATGCTTTTAAAAATCAAACACTTGCCAAGTCCCCAGGGAAGCTTCAAAGCACCCACAGGTTCCTATTCCCTCCACCCCCTGCAGCTTTTCTGGGTGCTTCAGGCTGAGCAATTTATTCCAAGCAACTCAGATGACATACTGCTGCCTTCTGGAGTAGGAGGTGGGAGATACTTGCTTGCATCCACGGACAACACTGGTTGCTCTTGAACCTTAGGGACGGGAGGAGAGTCTTTGGGGGAAGTCATTGGTTTGGGGAAGATTTCTGGAAAAAATATTTTGCAGATGCCAGACAGAGATAATAGTTACTCCAGGAAAGCTTTCGGCCTTAGTGTGGGCATGTGTCTCTGTTCTCTAAGTTCTTATAGTTCCTCAGTCACTTTACTGTATCCTCTTACCTAATTTTCATTGCCACAGGTCTGTGGCATTTAATTCAATTCACCATGCATGTATTAAGCAAGTGCTTACTATATATATGTATCGGGTTATAGATGCTGGGGGTACAAAGACAAAAACAAAATAGTCCCTGCCCTCAAGGGTCTTACATTCTACTGGGAGGAGAATGCAAAATATATACAAAGTAATTGGGGGTGGGGTAGGGGTGGGGGAGCATAGAGACGGGATAGGTCTAATATGAAGGGCAGTTTGTTAAGAATAGAATGAGGTTCCAGAGGGCTCAACAGAGAAGAATGGGACAAGGAATGGGGTGAGGCTGACTATGGTTATGAGGGAGCTGGGACTGGTGGTCAAAGATGGATCCCATCTAGGTAGACGGTGACTCAATCACAGGGATCCTGAGTAGAATCATAGGGCAAGAGACTGTCATGGCTTTTCACAGTAGCATTCCCAAGACTGAGCAGCTGCCATTAAAGGTAAGGCCAAGGATGATTATTATCAATGATTATTAATATTAATATTAATCCATAATTAATATCAATGAATAAATTATTTTACTAATAAAATCTTTTCAATCTAATAAACATTTTTATAGTTTTAAGGTTTCCAAGGTACTTAGATCATCTTTGATCTTCACACCAATCCTGTGGGGGATTATCATCTCCATTTGATAGCTGAGGAAATGGAAATTTACTAATTTCAGAGAAATTGGGTGACTTTCCCAGGATCACAAGGCAATTAAACTTCTGGGATAGGAGTCAAAGCTTGGCCACGTTCTTATACATCACACCGCGTTGCCTTCTTGAGGATGTCTCTCATGTGGTAGAAATGATGGATAAAATAGAAGAATTCAAAGCAGGGTGGAGAATGATGACTCAAATGTTCCTTTACGGTCCTAAAGCACTTTTACATAGATTCTCTCACTTTATTCTCCCAAAAACTCTGTGAAAGAGTCAGGACAAGGAAGGAATTACATGTTAGGAAACAGGTATGGAGATGCTACTTGCCAAGGTCTCTCTCTCTCTCTCTCTTTTTTTTTTTTTAAGTGAGGCAATTGGGGTTAAGTGACTTGCCCAGAGTCACACAGCTAAAAAGTATTATGTGTCTGAGGCTGGATTTGAACTCAGGTCCTCCTGACTCCAGGGTCGGTGCTCTACCCACTGTGTCACCTAGCTGCCCCTTGCCAAAGTCATATAGCCTGGGAGGGGCAGAGACCTGAACACAGGCATTCTGTTCCCAAGTCCATTGCTTTTCCCGCTACATTTCTCTTCAGTTTGGTTGAGCTGTTAACAAGGTTAGTCAGGTAATAGCAATTGATCACAGAAGGTCAGGGGTGGCAGATGTACCAGAGGCAGTCCATCATTCAAGAGGGGTTAGGGCAGGTCATGTAGCCAGGATGACAGACAACAGCTAGATTACCTCATTTACTGACTGGATCCCAAAGGACTAGGGACTAGGAACCTGAAGCCTCAGTGGGATGAACCAGTGGTTCAATTATTTAGAAAGAAACAGAAACACGGAATTCTGATCATTATGTAGTGTAGAGCAAAGGCTCCAAAGGTTACGGAAGATGAGATTAACAGGAATGCAAATTGGTGACAAACCGACATGCAAAGACTGCAGATTGATGGAAGACTGTTTTTTTAATTTATTTTTTTAAATAAAGGGTCTATGTATACAAGGGTCTTTCTTCCAAATACTTCTTTAAGGGAAAGCTTCTTGCCAGAAAAAAAAAAAAGATGGTTCATACTTTAAGGAAATAGAGCATATCAGAGAGAGAAATGAGATTTCTTGTCTACTCAGAAGAGGCTGGGTATGCAACCACCAATGTAGCATCAAGAGGACCTAATTTGTAATGTTCATCAGGCCAGTCTCACTTTGTAAGGGAGATACCCTTTCAAAGTCTTGAGAGTATGGAAATGGTGACTTTCACAAGGAAACAGAAATTGCCATACCCTTGGTTGGGATTAGGTAGAGGGACAGTGGACATGATAATGATAAAGAATAAGAGTAGGTAGCATTTATATTGTGATTTAAGTTTTGCAAAGTACTTAATACACACACACACACACACACACACACACACACAGAGCTATATGTGCATGTAAATTGTCTCATTTGATCCCAGCAAAAAGCCAGTGAGGTAGATGTTATTACTATCATCATTTTAGAGATGAATAAACTGAGCCTGAGAGAGGTTGTCAGTCGATAAGCAGTCAATAAGAATTTATTAAGCACCTACTGTATGTTTCAGGTACTGTGCTAAATGAGATCACATTTTTAAAGTGATTAGTAGGTGACATAATAGGCACTTGATAAATTGTTTTTTCTTTTTCTTCATTTTTTCCTTCCTTTTTTTTTTGTTTTCAACACAGGACTTTGTAGTAGACACTAGTTAACTATATTAATAAGACCTTGAAAGCAAGGTTATCTTCAATAAGGCAAAAGGAAATATGACTTTATACAGATAACAATGGAAACAATGACAACAAAATAGTCCTGTGACTTGTCCAGGGTCACATAGCTAGTAAGTGGCTGAGACAAGATTTGAACTCATGTCTTCCTGACTCCAAGTCAAGCTCCCTAGTTAATATACAAAGAGAGACAGAGAGAGAATCAGGACTTCTAAACTCTTCACCTGCTGTACTTGAGGAAAAAGTAATGATGATACCAGGATGCTCACCTTGAATTGATCACTATCATAACTACATCAGAAGTGCTTGGCAAGCTATAGTTTGTGCCCAGTGCCAGTGGGGCATGACAGGCAAGGGAACAGCCTTGCTTTCTGGCTTTGGAGGCTCAGCAGTTCATAGGGCAGAATGTCAATCAGCAGTAATCTGGAGACTAATACAGAGGAGTGGTCTAAACAGCATGGCAGCTACTCTCTGTAGCATCTCCTCCCACTTACATTTGATCTGTAATATGTTTTGGAGGAGTGGATAATTAATTAGAAGCCTGTAGTTCATAGAATCACAGGATTTGGAGCTTAAAGGGAATCTCAGAGCTCATCCAGG